AGGCTGATTAAGGAGTTCAAGTCTCAGGTAGGAAGCCATGGGGGCCTAAGCTGGCCATATGCCCGGTGACCTCAGGTCTACATGTCAGGCAGACTCTAGTGGCTGGGGGCCAGAGAAGTTTGTTAATCAGCTCACAAGCGGCTGAGTGAGGACCTCTGCCATGTGACAGAGAGGGCTGTCATATAGCACAGCCTTCACTGTGTGATGAAACCTCTAAGCACTTCTATATCTAACCAATTTAATCCTTATAGTAACTCCGTGAGGTAGGTATCATTATCCGCATTGTACAGATAAGGAAACTGAGGCACAGAGATGAAAAGGAACTTGCCAAAGGCCACACAGCCATCTAAGGTAGGACAAGGATTTAACTACGGGGCAGTCTGGTGCCAGAGTCTGCTCCTAAATACCATGCTGGGAATGATGTGTCCTTGTCCGCCTGAACAGATAGGGAGAACATGGACAGGGTTGCCCTTGGGGTCATAGAGAAAGCTCTGGTTGTAAGAGTAATTGATTAGTATGCTGTGAGGTATGTTGAATTGACAGGGAAATCAGTATATACAAGTGAAAATCCTGTTAATATGGGTCTAGGGATCTGTAGATTACCTTGGCTGATTCTTACATTTCTGTGCACTGACTTTTTGGAAACTATGCCACTTGGAAACTGATCTCTCCTTCATTTCTTATCAAGATGTTAATTGCCTTAAGCTGTCATGATTACCTCTGGTCTCTAATGTACTATTATATATTTTAAGATAAAATGTTATGTTAAAATTGATATTAAATAGAAAAATACAAAATAATACTGGAAAGCATTTTATGGTATAAAGATTTTACTTGTAATATATTTTATGGAATATTTTTGTACACCTACTTTGAAGGAGAAGATGTAGTGTGACTTTCAGTAATACTTAACTCACCTATGTCTCTACACCTTTTCTTGTCATGTTCAGATTGATTCAAATGAATAATAAATGTGAATTAACTCATATTCTTGATGTAATATAATGAAATAAAATTATAATTATCACTGAGTTTACTTTGGAAAGCAAAAGTTCTCCTGAAATTGGAAGTTGAATTGAGAAATTTTGTAAACCTTCAGTTTCTTGTATTTCTTTAATATCTGGAAACAGTAGCTATTCTGTATCTTGTCCAAGGCAGTACGGAGAGTTGCAAAGGCATCTCTTGTTGGAAATCTTCCTTGCGGTCATGCCTCCCTTTTTGGTTATTTTTATACTAATAGATGTTCTCTAATAGCTTAAATATATCCCTGAAGTGGTGTAAATTTCGTAACTTTGGAGACATATTTAAGGAAACATTCTGCAACCCAAGTGATTTATTGTAGTGTGTTAATCAGAGTCTAATCAGGAAAGAAAAATGCAGTAACTTAAACAGAAAATTTAGTATAAATAATTATTAACTATTATAAGGAATTTGAATATGAGAGATTAGCTAGTAAGAAGAGAACTCTCAAGAATATAGGAATAACAGATATGAAAGATGACTCCTAGCCCTAGAACTTGAGATAGCTTGACCAAGAAACCAAGAAAGACATCCCCTCAACCCCCAGGGCTAAGCTTCTGACCTTGCTGGAGAGGGTGTGCTTATATGTATTGATTGAATGGCAGAGAAGGTGCTATGGTGTAGCACTGGAACTTTCCAGAAATATTCCCTCAAGGGTGCCAGAGAAAGCTGTCCACAGGGAGATGACTTGCTGGAGATGCTGTTACAAAACTGCCCCAAGAATATGCCAAAGAAAGTGTTTGGATGCAAAGTGCTGGTTGCCTGGCCGTCATATTATACTACAGGAACCTGTACGAGGAAGCCACTCACACTACTGCAAGAAAAATACAGCACAACCAAGAAGAGAAAACTTCCTCTCCTTTCTTCTGCTTCTCCTTCTTCTTTTGCTGCTTCTCTTTCTTTTTCTTCTTGTGTATTTTCTTTTCTTTCTCTCTTTTTTTTGAGACAGGGTCTTACCTTGTCACCCAGGCTACAGTACAGTGGTAGGATCACAGCTCACTACAGCCTCAACTTTCTGGCTCAAGTGATCCTCCCACCTCAACCTCCGAAGTAGCTGTGACTACAGGCACATGCCACTACGCCTGGCTAATTTTTTATTTTTTTGTAAAGACAGGGTTTCTCCATGTTGCCCAGGCTGGTCTCAAACTTCGGGACTCAAGTGATCTACCCAAAGTGCTAAGATGACAGACGGCATGACCCATCACACCTGGCTTTAACCCTTTCTTCTACTAGGTCTTTTCAGCACCCTCTGTCCACAAAGGTTAATATTTCACCAGCTGATAAAAGAAAAATTATTTATCAAGCCCATATTCAATTTCACAAAGCAAGCAGTGAAGGGTGAATTTGAATCTAAGAGGCCATAAAATGATAACAAACACACGTGGGAATACCCATCCACTATCAGAATTTTGACCAAGGTCTTTCAAAAGCTGCCGTTCTGAACTTATTATGTAATTAACGTACTGTTTTGAATGTGTGGTTTACTTATCTATCTACATTTTTTACAGAAATTGATAAACTCTAACCACTCCTTCTGTCATATATATGCCTTAATCAGTTCAAAATAAAATATTACTTTTTCAAATATTTTATAATTAATCATGATAGAAACTCTTGTCCACAAAACCAAGTTTTAACATTTTTAGAATGGGAGATTTTTGGTTTTGGGTGGAAATAACTTAGGTGTTACTTTAAATATTGCTGCTTATTGGTTTTCAGATGTTCCTTCCCTCTGAACTACCAAACAAAGCTCTAGGGGACCTAGACTGAGTCATTCTTATATACTATACATTGACATTATCTGGCATGGTGGATGGTACATGGTAGCCTGGTAGATGCTCAGGCAGATTAATTATCTGTGCAATAATGAAAATGGATTACAACTACCTAAGTTGTAGATAAACAATTTTTTTCATCATTAAAAATATACAAGAAATAGTTGGGTTTGGGTAAGACATTAGGTATACAATAAAACATGGACATAAAAAATGTATACATTTTGCATAAGGCACATAAAAATGTATTGAAGTGGAGTAAGTTCTTTCTCAATAACTCTCAAAATATTTAAAACACATCATCGTTTGAGGAGCCACAGTAAACCGTGAGAAGAAAATGTCTAGGATGATACCATATTTAGATAGAGACTTCTTAGAAAGACAGTGAATTTTATCACGTAACATGGTTCTAAGTTCTGGAATGCAGTAGTTTTCAGGAAGCAGTAATATATCTTTGGTTTGCAAAATTTTTCTTATTGTCAATCTTGAGAGAAAGGGTTTTCTTGACATTGCATTCAACTTCACTTGTTGATCTATAAATCCTTTTTTTTCTCCCTTAGGTGTATCCTTCAGAAGATATATCAATCTTTTTTTCCTAATTTAAAAAAATTAAAGTTCCAGAATATTTAGCTGTTGCATACCATTGTGACATACTTTGTGTTTATTCTTTTTTGTTACAGGGTCTCGTTCTGTCACCCAGGCTGGAGTGCAGTGATGGGATCTTGGCTCACTGTAGTCTCTACCTCCTGGGCTCAAGAGATCCTCCTGCCTCAGTCTTGTCTAGTAGCTGGAACTGTAGTTGCTTGCCACCATGTCTGGCTAATTTTTGTATTTTTGTAGATACAGGGTTTTGCCACATTGCCCAGACTGGTTTCAGACTCCTGGACTCAGGCAGCATGCCCACCTTGGCCTCTGAAAGTGCTGGGATTACAGGCATGAGCCACCATGCCCAGCCAAATGTATCAATCTTGATGGAAGACGGAAGCTTAGAAGAGCAACACGTTTAGAAGTTTATGTGTTAAGGATGTTTACTTAACATTGTTAAGGGACTCGAGACTGAAGTTCTGCCTGTTATTTGAGCACAGTAACAGTTACTGGTTCAGAATCCACAGTGCCAACTAACGGTAGTTGAGTTGTAATAAAAGGCTATAGAAGAGTGGGAGACAAATGAGAAAGAATAGAATAGTCATAATCTTCAAATATAGGTCTATTAATCTTCCTATCTGAAGATATAGTGGCCTATAATTAGTATTTCTATTTTCTTATTGTAATTAAGTTGGTATTTTCATAACAATATAAGTAGTAGATCTACTTCTTTCTCATTGGTGGAAAAGAATATGAATTGAAATCTTTATTTAGGTATTGTTTATCAAATTAGTATTCCTTGGTGTCTTTATTCAGTAGGAGATAACTTATATATTTAATGTAGTATAAATGATGCAGATGAACTCATAAGAGACAGAGGAAATGATTAATTCATATTATTGAGATTTCACTGAGTGTATGGCATTGTATTTTATAAAAACATTGAACTATTTGTGAATTGGTTTCTGATACTTTTGGTCTATTTTATGCTTTTTTTTTTAAATGTTAAGTTGAACTTGACAGCACTCCTAAATTCTGAAACTGGAAGAATGACAGAGGCACTTCTAATAACATAAGAAATAAAAGCCAAAGGATATAATCTCAGCAACACCAACAATAAAACAACAAAAGCCTGTGGGGACACTTGAGTGAGGAAAGCAGTACACAAAACATCCGTGTTCTTACTTGCTCCATTCATTTAAATTATATGTTACCAATATCAAGCCTGGGAACCCAAGCAAAACACCATGGGTTCTCTGTTGCTTGTGAGTTGGAACACTAGGGGACAGCACTAAAATATTCCATAGTTGTGTGTTATTGATCACTTGCATACTGTATAATAAGAGATTTTACTGTTAAAGACTATCGAATCGCCTGTTGATTTCAGTGGATAAAGAAGCACAAAGAGGAAGATGAGCTTTCCAAATCCATAAGTTCAGACTTTATGAGTAAGTGTTTTGAATAATTTAGAAAAAGCTCCAGGCTATGTTTTGGTTGCAAGATACTAAGGTACAAGAACTTAAAGAATTGTGACTTGTCTGTTAAAGAGTGTTTTGTTCTGTTTTATTCTATTGGGGTAAATATTTTGCTGAAATTTTTACTTCTAATCTTGTTTTCCAGGCACATTGGAAAGGCATGAGACAGGAGAAAGAGCACAAATTATTCTTAATTGTTGTGATGATTCACAGCTGGTGAAGGCTGAGTCTGTACTTCCCGTTGCCTCAGAGACACTTAAGCACAAAAGTATAGAACAGAGATCCTCCTGCCCCTACCAGCTTGGGCCAATACCTTGCCCTGGTCTGCAGGTGGAGTCTTCACGTAAGGTAAGTTCAAATCAAGCTCTTGTTCACAAAGAACATTATCAACCAAACAAGAAATTATATGCATTCATAAATACATGGCGCTTAAGTATCAGCACAAAAACGAGAACTAAGAGACAGGTACATCTACCAAATAAGCTTGGGTGAATCAGTATAACTTCTTGAGTGACTATTATACTTATTATGGCATGATTTTTGACAAAATAGGTACTGCCTTATCAAAATTGAGTCAATTTTGTATTAAACCTCAAATCCTAGGTGGCTTTCCGTAGGGAAGGGAAAACATTCATATTCTGTAGTTTGCATCTGTTTTTGTTTTTGAGTTCAGAGTATCTGACCTCTTAAAAGTACTGACTGAAAATAAAATGGTATCAGAAAAACCAGATCACAGTATAGATAATTCTTTTGATATACTCAGTATCACTCGAGATCACTAACTCTAGGATTCTAAGCCTCAGTGAATACACAAGGATGGAATTTGCATTTATTTATTTGCATTTATTCTCACAAACCAAGTCAACCAGCTTAGCATAAATTTTGACTAGCTTTATTGTTTTTTACTTCTAAATATGATAATTTAATCTGATTTCCTTAAGGGATTAGATTATTTTCCCTCTTTTTGTCTTTTCATCTCCAAATTATCCCCTCAACGTACTGTTGGAACTATGCCATTTATATGTATGTATCAAATGTATTTTTTCATGTAAACATATTTTCCTAGTATTAATATGTAACTTTTATTTTTAATGCCTGCATTATGTTTTATGTGGTGTTTTTGCCATTGTTGGTATAAATTATTTCTCTATGGTTTGATTTATAGGTTGATATTTTTGTTTCACTTTTATGAATTACATACCTATGAACCTAAAGCTTTTTTCATGTAGATTATTTAAAGGATGTTTTTGGAAGCAGGATTGCTAAATCAAGATTTTGCTGATTTTTAATTACATATTGTTAACCTGTTCTGTTATTTTAATAGTATCATGAAGAGTAGTAAAATACTATTAATAAGGACTTTGAATAAGACCTTATTTTATCTCATGTGTATGTATATAGTTAGGCAAAAGAATGTATCATCTTCAAGAAAGGCTAATCGGCCATTAAAGCCATGCCTCAAAGCAGCAGAGTTTGGGGCCAGAGTGCCAGCATGTCATCTTTAGCTTTTTGGATTTAGAGGCCTGATTTAGATTTTACCAATGAGTCTAGGATTTGTCAACCTTTTGAGAACTGAGTCACACTAAGTACCTAAAAAATGAATATATAAACTAGAATGACAATTCTTTAATTGGAATTCTATCACTGCTTGGTACATTCTTACTGCAGCAAAGTTGGGGACAGAGGAAATTGTAACACAAGGTTTCTTGATGGGCATGGAGTCAGGGCCCAGAGAATATTCATTCATTGAGTTCTAAGAGTTGAATGTAGCCAGTGCTTTCAGCCCATCAGAGTAACTTTGTCAAGGCTGATAATGCACTGTAAAATGTCTAAATTTTGGATTTCTCTAACACTTCATTTAGAATGCCTGCTTTTATTTATACTTTCCTTCTTCAGATATTGAAGCCAGTGATTAAGGTGACGGCTTTTTTTCTTTTCTCATTCAGTCCATTGTCTTTAGGTTTTCAAAACTTATTTTTCCTATTCTTAACCTGAAAAGATCATTCAATGACATTTCAAGGCCATAAGGACAGTTATAGAGATGCAATTAATCTTCAACATTCACAACTGAACATAAGACCGGAAATTGAATCACACTGTCAGTCTTAGGTATCACAAGGCTTCAGTGAATAAAGCCCAGTGAGTGAGCCAAGCCAGCTGTCAAGCATCACCATCTTGATGTGTCTTTGTTGCTCACTCTTCATAACAGAGCTTGCATCTCATAGTGGAAATTATATGCTAGAATAGTAAATGAGAACTGGGGAATGTCTCTTGACTTACATATTTCAGTTATTTAGTGTTTGCAGGAGGAAACTTCATTCAAGTGTCTTTTTTATTAGTTTAATTCCCAGAAGGTAAACTGATGGCTATCTATTTCAGTCTCTTGAAGAGTTTCAGAGCTACTTTTCATGTAGTGGCAATAATATATATAGATTTCATTTTTTAAAAATTTATTATTATATTTTAAGTTCTGAGATACATGTGCAGAACAAGCAGTTTTGTTACATAGGTATACACTGCTATGGTGGTTTGCTGCAAGCATCAACCCGTCATCTACATTAGGTGTTTCTCTTAATGCTATCCGTCCCCTATCTCCCACTGCATGACAGGTCCAGTGTGTGATGTTTCCCTCCCTGTGTCCATGTGTTCTCACTGTTCAACTCTCACTTATGAGTGACAATATGCAGTATATGCTTTGTGTTAGTTTGGTAAGAAGGATGGTTTCCAGTTGCATCTATGTCCCTGCAAAGGACATGAACTCATCCTTTTTTTATGGCTGCATAGTATTCCATGGTGTATATGTGCCACATTTTCTTTACCTGGTCTATCAATGATGGGCATTTTGGTTGGTTCCAAGTCTTTGCTATTGTGAACGGTGCTGCAATAAACATATGTGTGCATGTGTTTGTATAGAATGATTAAAATCCATTGGGTATATACCCAGTAATGGAACTGCTGGGTCAAATGGTATTTCTAGTTCTAGATCCTTGATGAATCGCCACACTGTCTTCCACAATGGTTGAACTAATTTATACTCCCACCAACAGTGTAAAAGCGTTTCTATTTCTCCATATCTTCTCCAGCATCTGTTGTTTTCTGACATTTTAGTGATCACCATTCTAACTGGCATGAGGTGGTATCTCATTGTGGTTTTGATTTGCATTTCTCAAATGACCAATGATGATGAGCTTTTTTTCATATGCTTTTTGGCCACATAAATGTCTTCTTTTGACAAGTGTCTGTTCATATCCTTTGCCTACTTCTTGATGGAGTTATTTTTATCTTGTAAATTTGTTTAAGTTCTTTGTAGATTCTGGATATTAGCACTTTGTCAGATGGATAGATTGCAAAAAATGTTCTCTCATTCTATGGGTTGCCTGTTCCCTCTGATAATAGTTTCTTTTTCTGTGAAGAAGTTCTTTAGATTAATTAGATCCCATTTATCAGTTCTGGCTTTTGTTGCCATTGCTTTTGGTGTTTTAGTCATGAAGTCTTTGCCCATACCTGTGTCCTGAATGGTATTGCCCAGGTTTCTTTCCAGGATTTTTATGGTTTTAGGTCTTATATTTCAGTCTTTAATTCATCTTGAGTTAATTTTTGTATAAGGTATAAGGAAGGGGTCCAGGTTCAATTTTCTGCATATGGCTAGCCAGTTTTCCCAACACCATTTATTAAACAGGGAATCCTTTCCCCACTACTTGTTTTTGTCACATTTGTCAAAGATCAAATGGTTGTCGATGTGTTGTGTTATTTCTGAGGCCTCTGTTCCATTTTACTGGTCTATATATCTGTTTTGGTACAAGTACCATGTTCTTTTGATTACTGAAGGCTTGTAGTATAGTTTGAAGTCAGGTAGTGTGATGCCTCCAGCTTCAGTCTTTTTCCTTAGGATTGTCTTGGTTATACAGGCTCTTTTTTGGTTCCACATGTAATGTAAAGTAGTTTTTCTGATTCTATGAAGAAACTTAATGGTAGCTTAATGGGAATAGCATTGAATCTATAATTTACTTTGGGCAGTATGTCCATTTTCATGATACTGATCCTACCTATCCATGAGTATGGAATGTTTTTTCCATTTGTGTCCTCTCTTATTTCATTGAGCAGTGCTTTGTAGTTCTTGAAGAGGTCTGTCACATCCCTTGTAAGTTGTATTTCTAGGTATTTTATTCTCTTTTTAGCAATTGTGAATGGGAATTCACTGATGATTTGGCTCTCTATTATTGGTGTATAGGAATGCTTGTGATTTTTGCACATCGATTTTGTATCCTGAGACTTAGCTGAAGTTGCTTATCAGCTTAAGGAGATTTGGGGCTGAGATGATGGGGTTTTCTAAGTATACAATCATGTGATCTGCAAACAGAGACCATCTAACTTCCTCTCTTCCTACTTAAATATGCTTTATTTCTTTTTCTTACCTGAATGCCCTGGCCAGAACTTCCAATACTATGTTGAATAGGAGTGGTGAGAGAGGGCATCCTTGTCATGTGCCAGTTTTAAAGGGGAATGCTTCTAGTTTTGGCCATTCAGTATGATATTGTCTGTGAGTTTATCATAAATGGCTCTTATTACTTTGAGATACCTTCCATCAATATGTTGTTTATTGAGAGTTTTTAGCATGAAGAGGTATTGAATGTTTTCGAAGGCCTTTTCTGCATCTATTGAGATAATCATGTGGCTTTTGTCATTGCTTCTGTATATGTGATGGATTACGTTTATTGATTTGCATATGTTGAACTAGCCTTGCATCCCAAGGATGAAGCCAACTTGATCATGGTGGATACGCTTTTTGATGTGTTGCTGGATTCAGTTTGCCAATATTTTATTGAGAATTTTCACATCGATGTTCATCATGGATATTGACCTGAAAATTTCTTCATTTAATTTTGTTTCTTTCTTGTCTTCAAGAAGCAATAAAATGCAAGGGTCTTGTTTTCCTACCTACAGGCTGATTTCAACTTCATTTTCTTGTTTTTGCTCCTTACCTTAGATGACTACATTTTAAACTTTTATTCTTTATATTTGGAGATAATCTAAATTGGACAGGACTATCACTTTCTTTGTCCTACATACTATACTTCTATTATTATTGAATTTAGTGCTAATGAGATTGATATTTATTTGTGCTTCTTGTAAGCTATACCCTTTTAAATTATGTACTGTATGTCTTTATTGTCTATTATATACTATTTCTCTTAGCATTTTATCCTATTAGAGGTAAGCTGTTAAGATTGTTTTATTTATTTATTTTTAGAGAAAAGGTCTTGCTCTGTCATCCAGACTGGAGTGCAGTGGCACGATCATAGCCCACTACAGCTTTGAACTCCTGGGTTCAAGTAATTCCCTTGGCT